CGCATCGGAATGCTGGAGAGCTTCCGAGCAGGCTCCGGGGTCGTGTCGATGCTTGAAAACGTTAGCTAACCGTTAGCAACTGACTGTCGTCAGCTCCAGCATACCTCTTATCAGCATGGTTGCTACAACCATCATGTCACAACCGTCGGTACCGCGTTCCTCGTCCGAGTCGTCATCTAGATCATCATTCTTATCAATTCCAACGTTGACTGCCTTCGTCACTGTCGTCACTGCCATCATCACCATGATCATCACCATGATCATCACCGATCATCATCATCATCATCTCCATGGCATCACGTCATCGCCTTAGTGTTCAAACTAATTGTCTCGTCTCGCCTCCGCAACCTCCCCGTCTCTACAGGATCGTGTTCACCTTGATGTCGAGTTACGTCTTTATCTTTTGCATCATCACGATAAGCAAAACCGGGCGAATGTCGCAACGGCCGTAGGCCGTTTCTGAGCGGTGCATGTCCTCCATCGGCACTCGCGAAAAGAGCATCTCTTTTCCTCTTGGCTTAGGCAGTTACCCTCGTAGGCAGGGCTCGGTTCACGTAGCCTCCCAGCACTACTTTCATCTTTATGTCGCTACTCCACAACAGCTTCTGGAAGCAAAGATCACCCAGCTGCCTCAGGCATTTCTTGGCTCTCGGTCGGGATCTGAGCTCTGGGACCTTCAAGGATCCTCAGTGAAAGCAGGCCAAGGTTCGCTTTGGGAAGAGGAGCCCCCTAAACCCCAAAATAGCCGGGAGTCGGTCAAACTCTCAGGTTACCCTTGCCTACCAGGGCCATGACTGGATCAACAAGCAGGCCCCTGGGAGCAGAGCCTTCAGAACCCATTTTCCAGAATCTCTGTCGGAAGTTACCGATGCATCGGCAGGCAATGATCGCCATCTCCCTGGTCACTCTCCTTTTCCTCTTCAAGGTGCTGTGGGGAGTCGGAATAAGCTTCCGACAGCTTTTCGATCCTGGGATCCCGCCGATCCAGCCGAAACCGCTGTGAAATGCTTTCTCTTCGGGCCGCCTCCTTGTCGTGTGCCCGAAAAAGCGGCTCGAGCATCACAAATGATATTTTTGCCAAGGAAGTTGGAGTTGCTTTAGCGGCACAGCGGTGGTGGATGTTGATCGAAACTTTACGGGGTTTCAGAATCACGGAACCTTTAGTTGTAGGAGCAGCAGCAGCAGCAGACAAAAGGAGGAGGAAGAGGAGGAGGAGCAGGAATAGCAGAACATCAGTAGCCGTAGTATGAGTAGCATCCATAGCAGCAATGCTCCCGGGGAGAAGGACTGTATGAGTAGCTAAGCCGGCAAAGCTAAGAGGAACAGATGTTTCACGAACGCGTGAGCATGGCCATTTGCATGATAAGTCAACAGTCGTCAACAGACAGCAGATACACATATGACATATTCATACATGTTGTTGTACCGGGCCTAGACAAGCGTACCAACATGAGTAGATCAAGAGGCACACTGAAATAAGCCCACGAATGCATGCACATATTAGATGTACTTACGTATGCATGCATGTATGCACTACATGTATGGTGTATGCAGGATTGAAGGAAGGAACGAACGAATAACAATTGCATGTTTGTGGCTTTGCACAATTGACTGAGGTAGTGCAGAGGAATGACTGGCCAGATAGATAGAACGAGAGACAGATATGATATTAACGTTATGATATGTATCGTAGGACATGATGTGGTATGATATGAACTTGAGATGATACGATCTGATATTTATGTCATCTGCCTATACATGCTGTGTAACAACTCCTATCCATGCCATTCTGTTTCTCATTTGCAAGGCGCCTCATTGCTACTCGGCCTACGTCCTTCCCAGCTCCAACTTCCTGGAGGTGCCTTCCACCGGCTAATATAGGGGCCGAAACAATTACCAATACTATTTTGAGTGCGCTTTATCATGGAAATAATATCATGGACCCCAAAACCCTATTCTAAATATTTAGGCTCCTACGGTATGTGGCACCAGTAGCCAGGCCGCAGGAGGTGGTTTCTACAAGCCAGCGGGTCTGTAGAATAAGAGCAGAAAGGATCCGAGCATTCAGGTCTGCTCTGAGACTCTGCGACACGCACGAAGTACTGTAGTGCCAGCAAACCCGCTGGCAATCATCGGAGTAGCAGAGACATTCATGCCAACGATCAAGCAAGGAGAAGTACCAGGAGTCGAAATTGTCGCAGTGAAGCAAGTGACTCCTCCGAAGCTAACACATCTCCGTCGTGTCAACAGTCTGCTTTGGAGTTTGGATAGAGTCTTGTGGCTTGCGTTGTCTTGATATGTGGTAACGTAGACATTGGGCGAGGCCCTGCGCACCCTGTAGTGATGCCAATCGGGGGGAGGATATCACTTCGATAGGCGTGAGCCTGCCGGAGGCGCTACCGTCTCAGAAGACCTACCTGCTGCTCGTGATGTCAGAGATGATGACACTTGGCCTGGGATCAATGGCCACACTTTTCCGACCATGTGATTTCTATCGGTCGGAGTGAAAATGCTGAGGAATTTCTTGGCCATCTATCCATCCATCAATTTTGAACATTGGTCGGAGTCTCAGGCTGTTTGCTCCTGCCGCTGCCAGGTGCAGCCTTGTCTGTGCTCGGTGCAGCTCCGCGTTAAGCCCTTCACAAAACCAATGCCCCTGCGGCGCATGGATCATCGTCATCACTGGCATCGCCATCGTCATCATCATCATCATCAGCAGCACCACCACCATCATCATCATTATCAACATCATCATCACCATCATCAGCATCATCATCATCATCACCATCACAATCACCATCACCACCATCACCGTCTTAGTCATCGTCGTCGTCATGCGCGTCTTGCCGAACCGTCTCCCTACGTCTGCTTTGAGTGGAGGTTGCATCCCTGCAGGTGGACATTAAACGGCTGGACGCCGGGGGAGATTGCCGGCTTTGCCCTGGCGGTCGCAGTTCTGAGCCCATTGGTGGTGTCAGGGCCTCGTTAAAAGCTGCGCTTCAAAGCAGGGTAGCATTGCGCAGCATTGCGGAGCTTTCAGTCTCAGGTCGTTCGCCTTCTACGCGCTTCAGAGGTGGTGGCTCATGTTTCAGAATTCTCCAGGGTCTTCGCAATTGGCTTCCGCATGTTTGAGGACGACAACTGTTCAAATCAACAACGTTCCTCATCTCTCTCTCTCTCTCTCTCTCTCTCTCTCTCTCTCGCTCTTTCTCGCTCTCTCGCTATTCTCACTCTCTGCGAATGCTAGCCTGCACTCGTTCGCTTGGCAAGTCATGTTTATCACTGTGCCTGCTTCATAATTTGTTCACCTTTTCAATGCGTTTCACGCTGTAGATCGGTTTAGACCGTTTGGTTGCGCGAAGGGCAGGCAACAAAAGGGGTTGCTGATGGTTGCGGGCAAGGCCAGTTCGGGGATCTCGGGATTTCAGCTCAGCGCCTTTCCTCGCAGGATGGCCGTCTGGGGCCCCTGGGTCACGAGGGCCCGGAGCTCAGTGGATGGTTCGGGAAGCATCGGAAAGTTGGGAACCTCGTGTTCGGACGCAAAGCCATCATGTCGACGGGCTTCGTAGAATTCTCGCCCGAGCTAAGGACTTCACATGTTGGCTTCCGCCGGGAACATTGCCGCAAGCTCAGATGTGAGAGTTTCAATTTAGGTGCCCTCAGGTGCTCTAGATCCACGGGTCCCAGTGCCAAGCTCAGGATTCGCGCCTTGGCCGTCTTTGACCTTGGCTTCCTGTCACGCACTCAGCTTGCGATTCCCTGCTGCCCTTCCAGAAGGCCGGTGACGTGCATACTAGTGAATCATATTATACCACATCATGCAATATTGTAAATGAAACTGTGCTATATAATATTCGAATATATTGAATATGGTACTGTGCAATGATGAAATTTTAAGAAATACTATACTATATTGGTTTGTAAGTCTTATTCTACTATATTTGCTACTAGGAATCACCGAAACTCCGTCTTCGTGGCAGCCGTCATTGCCGGACCCTCAGCCATGGCCGCTTTGAGCTTGTGCCTCAATATGATAATAATCGTAGCAAAAGCAATAGTAGTGGTAATAATAATCATAATAGCAGCAGTAGTAGTAGTAGTAGTAGTAGTTGTAGTTGTAGTTGTAGTAGTTGTAGTAGTAGTTGTAGTAGTAGTAGTAGTAGCAGCAGCAGCAGCAGGAGTAGTAGTAGGAGTAGGAGTAGGAGTAGGAGTAGGAGTAGGAGTAGTAGTAGTAGTAGTAGTAGTAGTAGTAGTAAGAGTAAGAGTAGGAGTAGGGTAGGAGTAGGAGTAGTAGTAGTAGTACTAGCAGTAATAAGTACAGAAACAATAATCATGATATTCATAACGGTGGTCATACATGCACCAGTAACAGCAGTAATAACGTCCCCTGTTTACAGACTCAGTTCAGAGTTGCCATGTGCAGGCATCCGTCATCTTGGATGTCGCGCGTAATGCGACGGTGTGGTGTTCGATTTTGGGAATCCTTGGCAACAAGTGGCACGCGCCCCAGCGCAGATGCTGCTGAGGTGAGGTATATGCGCATCTCACCAGACGTGGCAGTGGTACTGCAGTACAGCAGTATCAGACCTGAGGTAGGTTTCGCGCATATTACCCCTGCATGTATTTGCACAAATGGTGCGAGCTCAATGACTCGTAGCTAGCGCGCGCTCGTCTGCTGAAAGGTATGCGCTGAAGGGAGGCTACCTCTGCATGGTTGTGGGAAGCTTGGAAAGAGCTATATACTATACTAGGATGTACTAATCTGTTGACTTTTACCATGATGTAACGGGCTTTTCTATAGTGTGCTTTGCACCCTTATTGCGGCCGAACCGTGCAGTTCACCTTTTCGTTTGTAGCATTAGCACCAGGTATTTAGTATAAAATTGTATGTTATAGAGATGTATAGAGTTTGATCGTATATTATAGTATATGATAGTATAGTATAGTACAGAATGCAGCGGCGGAAGAAACCTTTGCAAAGACACAAGCTTGATTGTCCACGAGCAGCCTCGCTCTAGACTCGGTGCCATGCCCCGCGACCACTAGCAGCAGTAGTTTCGGGGCTGGGGGCCTAGGCTTGCCAAGAGCCAAGTGATTCCTCCCCCCCCCTCCCTCCGTCCCTTGTGCCTTTTTGTTTTCTGTTTATAAAGTTTGTCTCCCCCCCGCCCCGGCCTCTAACCTCTATAGACTTATGAACTTCACCCTTAAGATCACAAGAGTGCCTGATCATTAGATGTTGATCAAATGTTACCTTTGACACGAGTAATCCGGTAAAGTAGCCTTGCCGTCTCTTGCCGTGTTTATGTAATAAAGCCGTGTTCTTGTGTTTATGTCGTGCCAACTCATCTCATCTAGTTTCATATCCACGCCGGTAGGAAATATCCCGCCATATCTTATCAGGTCATATCATATGATCTACTACTATAACATACAGAATCAGAACTCATGATGCCATAACTCTCTTCTTGTAGATAGCCCAAAGCTCACCCTCCGCCCTCAGGTCGTGGCCCTCAGTTCAGCGGCTTCCCCCCTGGTAACCAACGAAATCTCCATGCTGGTCACCGGTGTGTGCGGGTCTTGGCGAGAGCGACTCGATCCTTCACCGGGTGCAATTGCCTCCACTGTGATACTTCCGACTGAAGGACAAAAGCGCATACAAATACCTGAGCTTGAACCCGTAAACGTGATGCCGTTTTTCGCAAACCCAAAGCTTCGATGGCCTTGTGAGGTCCTTGCTTCGCTCATCGCACACGCTGCAGAGTACGGCGTCGCGGGGTTCCATGGGCCAGGCAATAGTTTACGTTTCTGCATCAGGATACTGCGGAAAGCTTTCAAACTTCTCGGCTCTGTTACTTCAACATTATCGAGGAAGACTTCAGGATACTGCATCATGTGAGTGATTTCTGCCGAAGCCTTTTTTAGGATTTTGGATTCGGGTCTGGTTTCCAGTGCACCGGCACAGTGTAACGCAAATCAACTCCTCGCAACCCGAAACATGCTACGAGAACCATTGCACTACTGGTACTGCTTCTTCTTTTTATTGTGCTGCTGCTACTACTACTACTACTACTACTACGACGACGACGACTACCACCACTATTCCTGCTGCTGCTGCTACTACCCTACTCCTGCTCCGACTCCTGCTCCTACTCCCCCAACTCACACTACTCCTACTACTCCTGCTATTCCTACTCCTCCTGCAACTCGCCCTACTCCTTCTACTCCTCCTCCTGCTTCTACTCCTCCTCCTTCTTCTTCAAATCCTACTCCTACTTCTACTGCTACTCCTGTTGCTACTCCTACTCCTACTCTCGCTCCACTCCCACTCCTACTCCGACTCCCGCTCCTGCTACTCCGAAGCCTTCTCCTACGCCTACTCCTGTTCTACATGTTACTCCTTATCTTAGTCGTCTTACGAGTCGTACTCCTACCCCTCCTCGCCCTACTACCACCACTACTACTACTACTACTACTACAATACTAGTACTATCACTTGAAGCCCAAACAGGCCGTGGCCTCTGCTGTGCTCCCGCTGGCTGCTGCAGCGTACGCCTTTCAGCTCTTGGCGATGCCTGGGCCTCAGAATGATCGAAAGAAGTGTCCGAGTCCTGGATTTTGAAGAAGTGTTTTTGTATCGACCTCAGACTGCGCCCATGACTGTGGTTGTCGGCGTTGCATCCCGGTTTCAGCCTTGATTTTCACGTCGAAGTCAGCTCTGATTCTTCATTCTGTATGCCCTGGTGTAGTACAGTCATGCAACTTTGCGTGAGATGCTTGGCCCCAACGTTACGTTCCATCGGGTGTCCGCTGTAACGTCGCTTCGGCGATGTCTTTGCTGCTCCAGTATGTCTTATATTATTCTGAATATGCCACATTCACATTCAGAATTTTCCAACGTGCTTCCGCTTCGGAATCAAGCAGGAGCCTTCGTCTTCGGGCTCTCGCAGATGTGTACGAGGGTCATGTGCTGCGTAGCTCCTCGAGGACTCTGTGTTGGCTGGCGCTGGGATGATGATTGTGAGGCGATGGTGATTGTGGTGAGGGACCGCTATCAACACCGACCGCTACTACCAACTACTTCTACTGCTGCTGCTGCTGCGGCTACTACTGCTACTACTGCTACTACTACTACTACTACTCCTGCTGCTGCTGCTGCTGCTACCGTACCACTACTACTACTACTACTACTACTACTACTACTACGACGACGACGACGACGACGACGACGACGACGACCTCTACGAAACAGCAGTCACGATAAGCATAGTCATAATTTTAGTACGTACTAGTAGCAGTAACCTAATAGTACTCACAAGCATAACCATGATAATGATAGTTGTATAGTCATGGCAATCATCATAACAATGACAATAAACATATGGATATTGATACTGATCATGATCGCGTTAACTGCAAAATTAATAACGAAATAATCACAACAATAGATACTAATCTTGGCAACAATAACCGTAATAGCCAAAAAGCAATGCTTCGGCTTCGACTCGACCACGACAGCGACTACGAGGAGTAGCACTAACCTTCTGTCTGTCGCTTCTACAAGTCGTGTTGTCTACTGCCGGCAGTTTCCAAGGCGTTACTTCAATGCAGACACGGTGAGCTACAAGGGGCCTTGCCGGCACGGAGTACAGAGCCATTCCAGACACGTATGATCCAGCGATGCTGGCCGGGTGATTAAGCTGTCCTTAGACTGTATCAGACCTGTCAACACCATGGCGAACCCATCGTTACTTCAAACTACAGAGAAGGCATTCCGTTGCTCAACGAGAAATTGCCACTGACGAAACGCCAACACCCTAGCGAGATCCTGTATTTTTCTTGGCAGCGTCCACCAGAGCCCGCGCAACACTTTCGTCGATGCTCTGACAAATTCAGGAAGTCGATAAATGCGGCCGTTGTCGAACTGACTCGCCTTTGTGGATTGTGGGAACAGCAGCAGAAAGCAGGGCCTGGTGGATGAAGACGGTGCGAAAGAGGAATCAAAGAACATCGTTGCGCAATGCAGGATTTGCCTCTGTATCAGAAGGATGCCGGGGCGAAGTCGCATGGAGGAAGGGCAGATCAAAAGGAGCAGAGAGGGTGGAACAAGTTCAGGGGCAACGGCAGGCACTGGACAATAGCCCAGCTGGCCATCTGGGTGCACGAACGTGTCCCCATTGAAATTGCGGTTATGTAGCACGAGCTTCGTAGAGTGGAAGTCGCGGAGCACGTGGTCGTTTTCCCGGAATAGGCTTCGAGGAGTTTTCCTTTGTTCGAGGGCCTTCCTCGTAAGCCGGGAAGCTGCATGCAAGCCACCCAAGAAACTGCATCAAAATGGTCCACGCCGCACAGAACGAGGTCTTGACAGCTCTCTTCTGTGCATGTGCAATCGAGCCATTTTCCGGTTCTACCAATCTTCATTGCTTCATTCCAGCCCACTTGTCTGACTTTTGCCAAAAAATCACGGATCACAAACTGCCAGGCACGGATCACGACAGGCAGACGGGAATGAGTTCGGCACGGAGGTGTCTTCTGTGCGGCTCGTCGTGAAAGAGATGAAGAGGCCCGGTTTCTTTGGAGCGCTACAGATTCAGAAAGGGTGGCAGCCCATTCTGCCTCCAGGAAGCGCAGAGAGAAGGTGAGGCAACTCCTGAACAACAACAGCCAAAGCAGCTGGCTCAGAGTCTGAGGCAGATGCGGCCGTCCCCTCTCCAAGTAGCAGAGTAGCACAAACCGCAGCTGCCCACCTCCGATGCTCCTGAGGTTTCGATGTTGGCACGCAGCGCGCGTGGTTTTCGAACATCTTGTGGGCACCTGAGCACCTGAGCGCCGAGGGGGGCTGTCTTTGCGCTTTTGGTGCTCTTGTTCCACATGCTTTGTGACCAAGTTTCAGTCCAACCTCACCAGTGAGCCCGGGTCAGCCAGTCCCCCAGTGAGAGGGAGTGAGCATGATTCGAGGAGGCATGAGGATCAGATATGACATGTGATGCCTTAATTGGGTCCTTGATAGGGTCAGTGCAATGCAGCTTGGCAAGCTTCGTCGTGAGCTTCGCAGGTCGAATCCGCAGTTCGAGCTCCCGCCCAACTTGAACCCTGCAGCGTCGGACCGCGAGCTGTAATACTTATTGCTCCTACAGCATGTCACGGTGGAAAACATTGCGATGTATACACTGTTTCGTAGGAATCTGAAACGCGTAGCACATGATGCTTCATAGTCTAGATCCCGTACTCGAATAGACCGTGTTGTCTGCCGTCAGGGAAAGCCCCTGTCCAGACGACCCCTCCGACCGATGCAAGTTGAAAGAGTTGCCTTCTGCTCACATAGCTTCTGACGAAAGCGAATACCGAACCGGGTCTTGCTACCAATGTGCGGACAAAAGAGGAACTTGATTCAACCGCACACGTCCTTGAGAAAAGCGCCTGTGCACTGGAACAGCAGCGACCCAATATGTTTGCCCTTACACGGCCGGGTCTGTGAGAGAATCTGACCGTTCAGGGTTCAGAAACCTCGCTGCAGAGAAGCAAAGTCTGCACTTCACACCTGTGTGTTTTGTTCTCTTGCACTAGAGCAAGCTGCGGGAAGAACCTGGCCCTGCAGTTTTCGAGCAGAGGCCAGTTGCCTAGTGGCCCTAGTACTCAGACCAGGCACGTAGGGTTCTCTCGCAGGATGAACGGCCGGCTGCTGTGGTGGAGTATAGCGAGTCCTGGGGAAAAGTTCTGGAGAGCCACATGGAGGGCAAGAGCATCGAGGAGCAGCGGAAGTTCGTGTCCGTGACAGCTTGCGTAGCTGTAGGACGCAGCTAGGACTGGCAGTCCATGGATTTGACATACTTCCACACGAGCCATCAGCGACCATACCCTAAACCCTAAACCTCTAAACCCTAAGCACTGAACACCTAAACCCGAAGCCATGATTTGCCATGATTTGCCGAGCCAGGAGTACGTCATCGTGGACTGCCACAACCACGTGGTTCCACTTTTCCGGACCTCCGTGACCCCTCCGAAAGAGGATTTTCCATTGAGAGTGATCCACAAGGCTGGGGCCCTGCATGATTCGATCATGTACTACAATTTCGACTAGAACATATTATACTGTCCTGTCATGTGCCACAAAGTGATGCAATGTACTCTGCTTCTAAGGAATTGCATGGGCTCGGGCTCGGCGGACTTTCCAAGTATCCAACTTCGAACACCTGGGGTGGAGGGAGGACACAGAGCTCCATGAGACCCTGCTATGTACTGCAGTTTAGGGCCTCGGCTAACTATCAATATTATCAATATTGTTCCTTCGGCCTCCTTTCTGGAAACATAGTATTATATGCCCCGGAGCCCCATTCCAATTATTGAGGCCCTTATGTGCTTGTTGTATAGTATATTGCCGTACATTATCGTACACTCTAGTACACGACATCAGGTAAGGCCCAAGGCTAGAGCTCTCGCCAGGGACGTGGCCAGGCGCCGCGCACACTTCGCCGGGCACCGCTTCCTCGTCTTCTAGGCTTTTGGGGAGGGCCGGGTGTTGGGGGGTTGGGGCTAGAGTTGAGGGTTTAGGGCTTGGGGCCTCAGGTTTTTTTGGGGTTCGGGGTTTGAGTGTAAGAGTTTAGGGCTCAGTGTAATGCTCCGAAGAAGCCATGATGTGTTGGTGCAGAATATGCAGGTTCTCGCGACGAAGTTCGGGATGGTTCGGGAAATTGATTTCTAGAGTTTCAGGACATGTGATAGTTGCGAACTGCTCGTATCAATCCTGGAAGCCTACAATCTGAAGCCCGTGTGTTCAGGCCTGGGACGCGGCGAGGAGGCCAGCTGTGACTTGTAGCATTCCAGTCGAGAAGAGCCTTCGGTACACCGCAGTGACAAGGGGACTTTCCCCGAACTCCTGGCGTGGTTCTCTAAAATAGGGTCGATGTTAGGTCCTCCCAAACATAGTACGGCACCCCTTTAAAAAGGGCCCCAAAAGGGATCCTAATTTACAGAACTACCCTCGGGCAGCCATGAGTTCAAGCCCTAGGCCCTAAACCCTGAACCATAACCCCTGAACCCCAGACCCCTAAACCCTGAACCCAAACCTAAACCCCCCTAAACCCCCCAACCCTGGCTTTCGGTGTCCTTCCACGCCCAGGACTTTGATTCAGAGGTCTTGGAGCCGGACCCTGAGCACATGGCAGGCTGTGTGTTCTGGGGTTTTTCTAGGTCCCTGAGTGGTACCCTTTTGCCCTTTTTATTTTAGGGCCCCCTTATTATTATTATTAAAACCGAATAGTAGGAAAAAGGGTACCCTTATTATAAAGAGGCTACTCAGGAACCAAGTTAGGGTTTAGGGTTTTAAGGGTTTTCGGCATTTAGGGTTTTTTAGAGTTTAGGGTATGAGGGTTTTTAGGGTTTAGGGTTTTTCGGGTTTTTAGAGTTTCGGGGTTGGGGTTTCAGGGTCTAGGGTTTTCAGAGTTTCTAGAGTTTTAGGGGTTGAGGGATTCTAGAGTTTAGGGTTTAGCGTTTTAGGGTTTAGAGTTTTAGGGCTAGGGGGCTACAGTCTCCGATGGCTACAATTAAGTAGGAGGACTGCCGCAGACTGCCTGAATGCTTCGTGGCAGCTGTTGTCAGCTGGCTCCTTTTCGCCGTTCGTCGGGTGGTGCCAATACAAAACTCCCATGTGCTTCTGCCCTTAAAAGCAGCATGCGCCCTAGCTTCTGGTTGAGTTGCAATTGGACGTTTTCTTCGTCAAAATAACTGCAACGAGATATTACACCCCTGTTGCCATGGCTCCATCACGCACTTCGAGACGCCGCTGCATCCGTCTGCTGACAGGCAGGGGGGGAGGGAGTTGTCAGTGTTGCTCGCTTCTTGATCTTGGGAAAAGGTACCGCACTGGCGCTGCTGGCGCTGAGAGCACTGAGCTTCGTGGCCCCCCGAGGCATGCGGGGCCAGCATGCCAGTGCTACTTGTAGCTAGAGAGTGAAGCAGCTACCGCAATTTGTGGTGCAAAACAAAAGGGCTCGGCTGGGCTTTCGTATTCTACTACAGCTAGTGGAGTTGACTTGCCGTAGGACACTGGGCGGTGGCGTGAGCTCCTGCTTTATAAGACCCTCCAGATGTGGTAAGGTACAGCTGGATTCACTAGAATGATGATTTGAATTGAATTGCAAGAGCCATTGTACAACATGTGCAGGCCCTTGTGAGTCAATGCGCCCCGACTGGCATGCTCTACTGGCAAGCTCACACTCCTTTTTTGTCCCAGGCCCGTCAGCCCGGAGCCGTAGTCGTCCCCGACATTCCATTCCAAGACTCCGCGGCCCGTCCCTTTCCAAGAATCTGGCGTGCCTGTGACCTTGACACGGCGCCACGCCGTGGAGACGGCAGAGCTGGCAAAGGAGGAGGCATCCCATGGGTTTTATGATTGAGAGTCGATTCACTGTCACCTAGACCCGTACCCAGATGGAGTGCCAGTGATCTGGAGCGTCGCAACGACGACCATGACCGTGGACTGCTGCTGCTGCTGCTGCTGCTGCTACCGCTGCTGCTACCGCTGCTGCTGCTGCTGCTGCTGCTGCTGCCATTACTACCACTCCTGCTGCCACTGCCACTGCCGCTGCCACTGCTACTGCTACTGCCACTGCTATTGCTGCTACTACTACTGCTAC